GCTTCTTGTTACTACCAGTAAGGCACCTGTTACTACTAGCGTGGCACCTGTTACTACTTTCGAGGAGATCACCGCTTGAAAAGCACTCTCTTCGATCTTTTGGACTCGGATGGCGACGGCTTGATCTCCATCGAGGCGCATGCGACGGAAGCCGATTCGGGGTTCATCCGCACGTTTGGGACGACGTGGCAACACCTTGCAGGATGTGGGTCATGCGGATTTGTGGGTCATGTAGCAGATGATCAGATTGTGAGGATCTTTCGACCAAAGAAATAGTCTAAGCTAAACTAGCTATGCAGGTTGCTGGTACTGTATAGTGCTAGTCTTACTTATTGTCGCGCTCAAACCGTATCGACAGTCTCAAGAAGATCCCAATCATCCCTGGTGTTTTTGCACAGCCAGAGTGTGGGGTGTGGGAGACTGTGTTTGCTGCTGATGCACACCTCTTTGCCGCACACCGGCAAGGACCTGCGATCTGGATTGAACTTGAGCTTGGAAGATAGCACAGAGGTCATTTCAGAGGCCGATGTTGTTGCCATGGAGAGTTGTGGTTGTTGCTAAGCCGCTTTCTCAAATTCCTATGGACTCTCAATAGATTCCTATGTTTGGTCGTGCAAGAGGGACAGGTGAACTTTTTCACAATGTTATGTCGACTTCTACTCTGGACATAAGACAGGCGGTAGAACGACGACTTCCGCCAAGGTGTCTCAGGAAGAGGAACGTTGTACAAGCATCAAACAGTTGTCGGGGTACCTTGCGCATCCCCTTTCTCTGGCAGGCTCTTGGTGAGCTCCGGCGTAAAGGAAAGAAGGCAGTTGTCTCACTTTTGATTGCTTTGAACTTATGTACTTATTTTTGTACAAAAGGCCTAAGCTATTTCGATGATCTTCATATTTGTGATCAGGCAAGAAAGAATCGGATTGCAGTCCGAAACTGTTGAACTTCTCGCGATTGTGGGTGTGGCAAGTGACTCAGTGACCTAACATATCTGCTGCTGCCCCATCAGGAAACTTCGGGCTCCATCACTTTCTGGAACTTTTTGTGCCTTGGGGAAGATAAGCTGTTTGGATGCCTGCTTTGCAAAACCAAACATGAGTTTGTAGCTTGAGTTTGCGCTCTGTCTTTTGTTCCACCACATAATCAGTTTTTTGGATGCGTGAACCCATAGCCTCATGACACATAAACCATATTAAGTATCAGTATCTTTATATATATATATGGTCAGTGACTCGACCCTGCTTGCTCCTGCTTTGGGATTTGCTTAGGCATTTGCTGGAACCTGCGCCACTGCCAGTTCGGGACCCAGCACAAGTTGCAAGCCAAGGTGCTTGCCACAGCTGTACAAGCCACTTCCAATGACATAAACTCAAAATGTGAGAAATAAGCGCAGGGCAATGCTCCGACTACTTTGTTCCAAATGTAATGTGCGGACCTCGAAGCATCTGACTGACCCACATTTGCGCATGCTTGTGCCTTCTTGCGACCACATGGATTGGATTTTGGTACCACCTATTTGACACTTTTAGGTCACCATCTAGTCAATATGTGCCTGACAGTCCCTTTGATTTCGGCCATGCTTTACGCATGCAAGACTTGTTGAGTACAGTAATCAAGTATGGGGGAGATCGCTTGCTAGCTGTTCATCCCATTCAAGGTGTTCTTCAAAGCAGACGGCCTGCACATGCAACCATAATTTGATTGCAGATGCAGAGTCAGAATGTGCTTCTGCACTGTTGCACGATTTGTCTCTCTTTACAGGAACGTGTGTGCTTGTCTAGAACCTGTGTGCTTTCTTTGATTTGTTCGCTTGATTTCCATGATTTCAATGGTTTATTTGGTTGCCTATTTGCCCGCCGCCCTTACTTGTGCCTGCCAGTTACCTGCCATAGTCCAAAAGCGAATTGGAACGAAATAGTCCAGTGATTCACCGAAGGCCCCACTCGAATAAGTCTCAACATATCCACTAAGGGACGACGCTCGGTTCCGTTGTCAAGTTCGAACCAGGCGGCCGAAGAAGCCCGCGCAGAGGAGATGTGAATGTGTGAGCGAATTGACAGTGTTAGGACCATTTTAATATACAGTATATATATATATATAGGAAGAACTGTTACATTCTTCAAATTTGTGTCGGTGTGGATGGATGAATGATGAAAGATGAACATATATACTAAAAACCTTCGCATTCCCTGCTTAGAAACTTGGGATTTGGGGGTGCACATCTACACATGGAACCATAGAGTGATTTAACAGCACTTGCGTGATCTACTTGACAAGCCTCTTGTACGACCAGGGCGGGAGACTGTGCTTTGCAGCTGCTTTGGAGCTTTTCTTCCGAATGGAGGACCTGCTGTCAACGCTAGCGACCTGGTTTAGACCTGGTCGCCTTTGCACCACTGGTTGAGGCAGATTTGCGCCGCGCGTTGGTGTGGAGATTTGTCGACCATGCTTGGACGCTTTGTCCAAGATGCTTGGACGCTTTGTCCTGGAATGCCCATTTTGGGGCCAGTTTTGAAGAGGCATTCCACGAAGAACCTTTCATTGTTGTTGCAGCATTCAACGAATTTGTGTTTGTTTTTGTTTTTAAATAAAGCTTCTTGACCTAAGGGGGATTTATCGCAGCGGCCAGTCGGCCAGGTCGTGGAAGCAGCCCCAATGCTTGGACTGCAGAATCCATGTGACTAGCATCAGCTGGGGTTGATGGCTTTTTCAGACCTCAAGAACATTCTAGAACAGAGGTTTGGATGCACTTGTTGTTATATAGTAATTATGCATATAATTGTATATATATATAGCTTCTCTTAAAGAAAGTGGATTCAGATGCTTTTTGTGTCTTTACTCCCTGCTTCGCCATGTCTTATGGACATGTTTGGAGAAGTTTTGGAGCCACCTTTTGAAAAAGAACTGACTTGCATCCTGTGAAGTTTGCATGCTGTAAGGAGGAGGACAGAAAAAAAACGGGAAAGCACACTCAAATCCGGGGTCACAACTGAGGTACAACAACCGCGGAGCCCAGCGTAGCGCCCTGTGTCTCTGTGCAAGTTGAGATTGGCTTGTTGCTGTTCTCGTGTCTCTCATGATCCAAGGATGCAACTGGCAGATTTAGTCCCAATTCTGATTTCAAGACATGGTGCATTCAAATGGACTTTGTGTTGTTTGGAGCTGCACGCATTGGCACTTAATTAATTGTATAATTATGATTACTTTAGAACATGCGATTCTTCATTTCTCTTGGAGATCTTTGGATCATTGAGATTTCGTAACATGTCTAGTCTTACGCGCCAACGGTGGGCCAAAAGCTGTGGTACAACATGGCCGTGTCGCAGCTGCGCGAGGTTTATTTAGCTTATGGACTTCGTAAGCAAGGAATGCAACATGTGTCGGTTCTGTCAGGGACTACTCAGCAAACCCGTGTCCACAGGGCTTTGAATTGCTTTCAGAAAAATATGGCTCTGTCAGCCAGCATTTGAAGACTACGAGGGCCTTTGCCAGGGCCCAGTCGCCTTTGACAACTTCAACATGGAAATCTTGGAAGAATGGTCGCAGCATTGCCAAGCGCTGGCCTTGCTTGGGCGTGACATCTGCGGACATTGAGCGGGAATTAGATGTGCTCCTCGTAGAACCTCCTCGTGAAGTGCGTCACGAAGTTTCTTGCGTGCTGGCCATGGACAGATTCGACCAGCAGTCTAGTCTACCCAAAGTGTCAATGTAATCTATTATTCAAGTGATCCAGATTCCAACATCATCAGAGGCGGCAAGTCCCTGAGATGCCAGCATCGCACTGCACATTCTCAAGTGCCTTTCATCCAAGATTGACATGTTTCCGTTGCCTTCTCTTTCGACATGCCCATCTTTTGACAACTTGGGTCTTGTTGGCTAGCCTGGCGCGAAGGTTGTGCTAGAAGCTCACCCCACCTTTGTTGGGGTGTTTCACCTCTCAACAAATGTGGGGAAGAGGTGGGATGTCAATCTTGAAAGAGAGTGGAGTCGTAAGTTTGCTCTCAAATTTGCCTGGATTCTCTTCCAGACTCTGAGATCCAAACTGGTATGTACAAAGGGCGCGCCCCAGCGCAGCATCCAAAGACTTGAGGTAAGATGTGCGGCAAAACGGACTCCCTGAATCACAGACAAGCAGCTAGTGACCTTTGAGTAGGTTGCTGCGGTGATCTTCCAACAAAGACAGTCACAAAGCATCAGAATCACTCCCAAGCTCTTCGAGACGGTTTGCTTCAACACTTGGATCACGAAGTCACGAGCAGGAGCACGTTGTTATTGTTGTTTTGTGTGTCTCGAAAGCTTTGCGCGCACCGCGCACCTCCCACAGGCCTGGAATTTGGACAATACTAGCAAAAGATTGAATTGGCTATTTTAAATGAAACACATGTGACTTGACTTTTAGATGAAAGCATTCGGCAAATTCTGATGATGCCCTAAATCTTTGGATAGTTGACAAGAATTGTCCTTTCCAGGCTGCACCATGGCAGCTTCCCGCCTGGCCAGACATTGCTCCAGACAGGTACAAGATGTACAAGTGAAACATGTCGCCCAGATATGATAGTTTGCTGTTTCCTAGAGCTTATTTGTGATTTTGGATGGTTTTGGTATTTTGGTGTTCTATTTATCATTGGGTGGTGGAGCGGGTTGCTGACACAACTTGGTCTTGGTTGAAATCTGATTTCTAGGCAATCTCATGCAGCGAAGACCCTGGGGTTGGCATAGCAAATGACAGCTACCAAGCAGAGGAACGTCCGAATGTCCCACCAGCAAGAGGCAGATCAACAAACACTTGGTGCACGGAATATTATGACCACGCCATGCCATGCGATATCATTCCATGCTTTATGTAAATTTTGCAAAACTTCCATGCTTTCCCTTCTTTGTATCCCAACCCCCCCAAGCAAAAGCCACGACGCGTCACGACAACGGTGCAGGCATGGATTCGTGCCGTGCGAAGCTTCTCGACCGATTTGAAGCAAACACTGACCTATGAGGTGGGAACCTTCGGATTGTTGGATGCTGTCGGATGGTGTCATGGTAGGTCGGTTGACATTCCGTGGTCAGGGTTGCTGTTTTTGGAATGAATGTCTCCTCGACATCTTCATGTCTTGGTATCTTGGTGTCTTGGTATCTCCATTTTGACCTCGTTTGAAATGATGCATACTCATCGCTCCTCGAGTTGTTCCGGAATCCGAGGGACCATCCGCCGTAGCATCCGATGCGGAAATTTTTCTTCACGGCGCAGGAGCACCTCAAAGAGGGTGGCAAGATGGTGGACTTTGCAGGCCGATGGACACGTGCCAAAAAGAGCATGTCTTCACATGTTTCGAGTAGAGCCTGGGACACGGGGGTTTCAGCAGACAATGGCAGGTTACTAGTTGCTAGTCGATGTAGTACCATAGCTCTTGAGTGTGTTGGAGCAGCTGCAATTCCAGGCTATGCCATGCCTGTGCAGTACGAAGCAAAAGGGAGCAAACATGCGCTGAGCATTATCGATTCAACCAAGTGGACTCGATGCTTCGGCAGCGACACAGATAGATCAAAGAGGTCAAAATGCATCCTTTCAACCTTCAGCATAGCGGGGGCACTGTGGATCATTCTCGCGCCATCCACGAGTAATTATATAACTTAATATACCATTACATACAATTACACAATAATGTCAATGCCTTTTTTTCTTTTTGCGGGAAAGTTGTGACTGTGAACCTAGAGGGTGCTGAAAACAAGGAATACCGAGTGACTGCCAACTCCGCCATTTTGACCCCAGAAACTGCGTTCGCCAATCGAAACCTCTTTAAGGAGAGAGCGCCTCTCTCTTTGACGTGAGTCACATGTGCAGCATTAGGTGTGGGAGCTTGCAGGGTGGGTGGCTGCATCTGGCTGTAATCATGCTCGTGTGACTCGAAAACTGCGACCATGACTGTAATCATGCTCCTCATGGCTGAGCGCATGACGCGGCCATTTGTATAATGATGGCAGACCCATCTGATGGACGTCTTGGCCTTCTCTTCCAGGTGGACTGGCAAGGACGCCTTTGACTTCGTTGAGAGGGTCACCACCGCCGACGTCTACGGACCGGAAAGGGGCCTTCCAACCGCTTGCAGCAAGTCCAAGCTGCTTTCTCGGCTTCAATTGGGCGTGTCTTTGAGTGATTGAGTGTCTGCGTTTACGTTTAGAACAATAAACTTCTACGAGAAGCTCTCAACTTCCCAAAACTCCCCCTCCAAGCAGCGGCGGAGCTGCTCACAGCGAGGACTTCCTGCAATGACGGGCTCTCTGAGTGTCATCACCAATGAGCGAGGTGGTGTCATTGATGACACACTAGTGGGGACCTTACTGGGAGGCATATCGGTGGTGGTTTTGGTTTACTTCTGGTCACAAGCTGAAGGAGAGGAATCCTGGTGCCTGCCAAAGCTAATATAGCTCATTGAGTTCCAAAAGGATGATTTGTTGGTGTCAGCTGGAGGTGACCAAGTGCAGCTCTAAAGAACATGGAGAGCATGTCTATCAGGCGTGTCGTTGAGATGGTGCATGTTGCATATATCTGCGCAGTGGAATGCTAGCATGTCGGGCGGGCATCTTGTAGAACCTGCTTATGAAACACGGGAACTCCTGCGGTGAATTCGGCTTCGCTGTTCCTGTGTGTTCCTTCTCAATTGGGAGTAGAAGTTTGGCAACTGCATGAGACTCAGCGGATGTCCGAGCCAACGATTAAAGAAATGCCTGCCTTGTGTCAGTTTTCCTTTGTGCGCTAGGTGGTGAATGCTGGTTGTGCACCAAAAGATTTGAAGCATTTTGAAGAGCAGTTGGGCAAGTTTGGCGGCGATGTCAAAATGGAGGCTGGCTCTCATGTTCCTCTCTCCCTCTCCTCGTGAGTCTGTAATTGAAGTGTCATTTCATGTCCAAAGACTCCTAAGAATATCATGAAGTAAAATCACAAGGAACTGAACACGCACACTCCCACAGTAGTCTAATATGACGTGACACACCACTACAACTACGTATGGATGCTGTAGTACTTATTATGCATTCAAAGAATCTTATAGATGCCTCTTAGATTGAATCGACAGTACATCAACTCGACCCCAGGTCATGTGGGACAACCGAGGGCTCTTTGCGATCCAAGGGCCCAAAGCAGCAGAGGCGACCCAATGATTCTGCGAATGGGAAAGATATGGCACGATGGTGCAGTGCAACCCGTGTTGCTGACAACTATACAGACATAGTGGAGTGTTGAACATATACTGTACAAAGACACGAAAAGCATGAAAAGGCCGTGACACCCCTTTCTTAGTTTATACTTTATTGGAGATACTGGCATCAAAGCAGACCAACACCAAATCAAGTTCCGCACTTATGGTGCTTACTATTTTCTTCTTTTCTAGCCCCAGCCCCTATTAGCCCCTTAAGCAAGGAGCTGCAAATTGTTTCTATTGGGGAAACTATGTATTTGAAATGCTCTTGTGACCAGCAGTTATCATCGTTGTGCTGACCGACCAAGACCACTGGTGCTTTCAGTTGCGTTTTGGAGGTCCTTCAGCGCCTCAGCCCTTCTACAGACCTGAAGTCTGTGCCCTTCGGCCAGTGCTTTTGGATGACACTGGAAGGCGTGGCACAACAGAAAGCCAACAGGATATCGTGATGTATGTAGTGTGTGTATATATATATATATACACAATCCGGATGGGGTCGGCAGATATATTGTATATATATGAGATATACATGCATCCACAGTGGTATTTCCAGCATGGTGCTGCTCAAGACCCTGAGGGCACCAGCCGAGATGGTGATGTTTGCTTAGGAATCAGGGAGTTGCTCCCAGCTGAGAATGCAACCAGCTCATCACGCTGCAACCGCCATTCGCAGGTGCTGAGTGCCTGGTGTCTCGGTTCCTTGGTCAAGAGTGGCGACTCACATGAGTGTTCATGAGGTTTCACGCATTTTGCCTTCGGATTGCTGGAGATATCAAAGGATATTTGAAAGCTTCCTTTAATGTGGAATTGTTCCGCGTAATATAATTAATGATAATTAACGGAAATGCACTGCTTGCACTGCATTCCACCGTGGAATCAGATTCTGTACAAGAAGAGCTAATCCTTTGAGCAGGTGTGGCTACACAGGTGAGGATGGCTTTGAGGCCACACAATCGGAGGGAGTCGGAGGGGTTCGGCTTGTTCACTGAATGCCAAAGGGCATGGTGTCGCTCTTCAGCGCCCGTTCGCTGCGCAGGTCTTCGTTCCCGGTTCCGCTGCCGTGCCGGTTTGGCAATTGCTGACCTCACAAGCCGAAGTGCGGCTGGCAGGGCGCGGCCAGTGGGACAGAGAAGTTGGAGTTGGAAGGATTAAACATCTATGAAGGAATTTAGCTAGGACACCGCAATGATGTGATATGTTTAGATTCATGAACTGGAAAGGTTCGTGATCCTCATCGCAAGGAGACTTAGTGTGAGAGTACTGTCACTATCAGCATAATTGGAGCTGTAAAATTGTCTAAACACATTATTGACCTCTTCGACTGATGGTTTGGTACTGTAATTGCCGGTTGAACAGAATCAATCTGAATCATCCGCCTTTCAACCTGACTTCTTCGAAAATCCGGGGCCAGAAGGCCCTCCACTCCTGCTCTTACGAGAACTTCTTCCCCACCTATCTTGCTTTGAAAAGACCGTGAACGGCATCCCCGTGAACGGAATCGGTGTGCTTCGGATTCCGCCAGGCTCGGAGCCCGTGATTCCCTGCGCCTGGAAGCCGGGCTTTGCTTGTATGGCCGGGTTCCGCCCGTCCACCGACTCGCGGACGGGGTTGCTGATGCCAGGGACGGGATCATGCAAGCGAGAGGTTCCGGTAAGGCATGTACGGACGTGATCGACTGACAGATCGACCGAGCACAGAGAGAGAGAGAGAGAGCTTCTTGTTCCCTAGTAGCGATGGCCTCCAACCTAATAGTGATGGCCTCCACCTAGCAGCTTCTTGCTACTGAGAGAGAGAGAGAGAGATAGAGAGATTGATTGATTGGGAAACTTGCAGCGAAGTCGTCAGGTCATGAGCTTGATGAGGACAAGCGGGCAATGATGCAATATGAATCAATATATGACGCAATTGACGAGAACCAGGTTGTATGTTGTGGAATTTGCAATGTGTTCCAACATGAATTTCCACGAAACCACTCAAAAGGCATGTGGAGCAAATCTACACTACACTGCTGTGATGAGTTGGCACTCGTGCGCACCACAAAGGATCCATCACATGAATGGAGGGGGTGTTTGATTCATCAAGAAAGTCGGTCCCGTGAGCCTCCGAGGCTCATCGTGTGGGGTTTTTGGTGTTTGCCTATCACCCTCCCAGCAACATCCGTGAGTACTGCTACCTTCAATCCATCTCCACACGGGCTTTGGATCACACATTGCACAAGGTGCCCTTGGAATCTCCAACTCCAACCCCTTCGGTGCATCTCCCAGATGTAACATCTGCGAGGACACCAGTCCTTGTGAAGCTGGTCTCAGTGGGGATCTCAGAAAGGTTGGAACGTATACACCCAACTTGGCGTGCGCTTGAGTTGCCATGTCTACGGCTTTAGAAGCTTTGGCCATGCCTTAGCTCCGTTCGTGCTACAGTAGTGTAAAAATCAATCTCAGAGTCCAGTTTGTTGAAGAACAACGAAGATGGATCAAGAATATATTTGCTCGAAAAGGCACACGTTTGCAACTGGTCAAAGGACTGACAGTTTGAGGTTCTAAGTTTAACTTCATTTGTGGTTGTTTGGTGGCAGTGACCACGATGCGGTAGCTCAGCAGCATGTGTCATATTAATGAATGCACGGCATCCTGCAGTGTGACCTCATTGCGGACAGGGCATAGGCTGCCAGTGATGGGGGGATGTTTATGGATGGGGTTGCATCTCATGTTTGGCATATTATATTATCATAAATTTATATACAGTAATGCTGTCCGAATTGTACTATATGATGTCTAAGCTCCGATTCTGACAAGGTTTACAAGGCTCCTCACTCTCGATTCGAACCAAACAATGATGCAATCAACATGATCGGTACTTTGTTTGACCTGATCCGTGCTGTACATGTTCTGAGGCTGGGTCATTCCCAAGGCTAGACGTGACGGAGCTAAGAACAAATTCATCGGAAGCTGCGCTCTTAGTGAGTGCTGCTTCACTGTGCTGGGCTCATGGTTCGGCACACATACGAAGAAGGTTTGGTTCGCCTTAGATAGCTACAGTAATGACTGCAGATTTGGAAGGAAACCCAAACCGCCGGCCTGTTGAATGATCGAGAGAGAGAGAGAGTTAGAGGTGGGATGCCGTAGGCCTGGCTTGACAGAAAATTCAGGCGATGAAATTCTAGCCCAACTCTCCGACAAGTCGCGATACAAGAGGCGAGGGAAGGAAGGGGATTCCACTCGTGACTTGTCCCACTTTGCTCCTGACATCTCCTGACTGTCCCGCTCGAATTGCAATATTAAGCATTTGGCCTGGATGTTGTGGCTCAGCAGGCAAACGCATTACTACAAATGTTGTCCATGATTTCATGCAAGCTTGGTGTTTTTCACGCCTTTGCATGTCTTTGCATGGAGCTCTACCAAAAGCTTCCTCAGCTTCTTTGAGCCAGACTGCGTGCTGGGCTGATGCCGGCATCTGGACCGCCAGCTAGAGAAGGAGCTGAGATCGAGACCTTGGACGAGCAGGTTGTCGGGAAGGCCACATTCTCACATTCGCTGAATTTTCAGATCGCTTTCTGTGCTGCTGTTAGGACGCTACTAGTAGCTCCTGGCATCACTACTAGGAAAAACAAGCTAGTAGGAACAAAGGGCATCGCTACTAGGAGCATAATCTTTGTTCCTAGTAGTAGTCCACCTCACAATGGTTGCACCAGGGCGACAGAGCCAATGTCCCGCGAGGTGACCAGCGGAAGCATGTCCCCTTGCTTGAAGAAGAACATCTCGATTGGCCTGAGACTCGAGAGATGCACGTCATATTTCGATCACAAGCAATACCGTGTTTGTTTTCTTTGTAATGCCACACATATATACACCTGCGTTCTTGATGAAATTTTGGAAGAGAGCCTCGGCAGTCGCCTTGAGATGTATTTTAAGGCAAGTGGAGGGGATCTTTTGCTTTGAAGCACCTGTCAGTTTTGTTGTGCCCTCGGCAACAAGCAGGCTACATCAACAAGCCCCACAACAAGCAGGGCACCGACCTGCAAGTGGTGGTCCGTGGCAAGCGGCATCCAGCGAAAGCGCGGAGACTCAGAGGCTGGTGGGAAGGACTCCCACGAAGTGCCCTGGACCCACGAGGCTGGTGGGGACAGGCAGGATCACCTCAAAACAAAGGCAGCGAACTGGTGTTGAAGAGGATACAAATCAAAGCTTTGCAGGTCGTTTCGCACAGTACCCCAACTACCATCGACCGCCATGAGCCAGGACATGTGTGAAAGTGAAAAATAAATAGATAAATAAGATTATATACGTAAATAAATTATATATATATTATATATATCAATATATATATATATATGTGTTTTGCTAAAAAACAAAAAGATCATGCACTCACCAAAAATAGATAGCGTGACAAACGCCACACACGATAATATTTCCCTCACCAAATCCTGAAGAACTGAATTCCACAACAAATTTTGACCGTCGCTCATATAAGAATGTATGTTGAGTTGTTGCCTCAGCCTATGAACCCTAATCCAAGCCCTTCTCATGTAAGGAGCTCAATTTTGCACTTTTCCATCCTTGTTATTCAGCAGCAATATCCTGACATACAGGGTGACACCTGAATAGACAGCTATCTATCCTTGTTGCTGTTGTTTCAGACCTTTTCCGAACTGAGCAAAGATATGTTCAGTTGGCATCCCACCAATAGATGTGTTCCGTTGGGGACTTGTGAGGGAGTGTCACGTGGCCACCCAACCCCACCTGGTGACCTGGCGGTTTGCTTTGAGTCCTTGGTTTGAACTTATGATGGCTGCTGTATGCCGGACCCCATGCCGGACCCCAGCCATCCTCCCAGGTCGTCAAGATGCCTTTCGTGCCCACCAAATACTACAAACCCTGAGCTGGGCAAAGTTGCCGCAGCCTCACCTCACACAATTGAGTTCGCACATCTTGGACAGGCCTTCAAGTTTGGACACCTGCCCTCCTTGCGGATTGATGGACATGGCATGACACGACCAAACACAAACGGCCCTCTGAAAGGCTCATCATCAGTAAAGGAAGATGTAGAACGAAGAATGCCCACAGCTCAATTGTCGCTTTTCCGCGCCGCCAACGACTTTGGTCTCTTGCCATCGGATCTCTTTGAGGATTTCATGCCCACTTGGCTGCCCAAGAGTAAAGATACAAACAGGACTAATTCAGTATCATTCAGTACAAATAGTGCTTTTGGTTGGAATTCTCAGAATCCGTCAATCCTTAGCCCCAATGGGGGATTTTTGCGAGAGTTTGGCGGGCCAAATCAACAGCACGTCACCTGACTAGATTTGGCGTTGTTGTGAGGAACAGCGTTTTTCCCGATCTTTATCGCTGACCACTTCCAAGTTGACAAGACTGTGAGTGTAGCGAGTGTTCCACAGTTCTCGCATGGATTGTATGACTGCGGCTTGAAGTTTGGGCTGCGTTGTGGCTTGATTAAGCTTTTCTCAAACATGTAATATCGGCCTCAAAGAACCACGCTAGACTACAACCATGCATTCTAACATGGACTTGCCATTCGACGTTGCAAGAATGACAATCAGACGTGTTTGACAGATTGTTTGCTCAGACATTTCGCAATGTCCACAGTTGAACCAGCGATCATCAAGTCTTCATATATGCATGATAGACATGTATAAAGCTCAACCTAGAATAGTTTACATATACAGTGGATCGCTTCCTGAGAGCCACCTTCTCCATCCAGACGTCGAGGCGTTGCGTGTTTGCACGCTGCATATTGTGTGTTTCAGCTGTGCTTTGGTCATTGCATCTTGCCCCTTTGGATCAACGTGAAGGCGCAAGGGCCTAATTTGGATGCAAGGATTGCAAAGACCAAAATTCCACCCAGCATCCTCCTAGTTGTCAGAATTGTGTAGGTCAAGAAGGCTGAGGCCGTTCGATAGAGGAACCTTGTGAGAATACTTTTGTTGACAAGACTTGCTTGAAGACTCTTTGTTGGCAAGACTTACAGTACTTCCGGTACCTGACTCCCTGCTACGAAATGACCACTAGCTAATCGTACGCCATGTGTGGATGCAGCGATGGCGCCTTCGGCGGGATTTCGCTTGAAGGTCCGCTGACTAGTTTGTGTACTGATTGGAAGGACTGCAGAATGTACTTGACCAATTCGTTTGTGCTGTACCAGTTCACATTGGACAGCACCAACTTGCTTCAAAGATTTGTCCCGTGAAAGTCTTGTTTGGGGTTGATGAAGAAGTTCTGCGGTCTGCGAGAAGATATTCTGGCTGCCCTGGATATACACATTGGTATCATTGGTGCAGGGTGAACATGTTCTCCTAAGAGCTTTCAACACAGAACGAGTTTTACAATCTGATTGATGTGCAGCCTCTCTACTGGCAGTCTCTCCAACACAGAGTAGATAGATAGTTGATGTAGCTGGCAGCCAGACATAGACATCGAAGATCTGACTGAGGGTCCTTTGTTTGATTCGGAATGAAGTTTCTTGTTTGAGTTGTGTGCAATTGAAACTGAGGTTCTCTTGAGGAACCTTCAGAGCCCCAGCGCAGGAGTGTTGTGTTTGCACTGCACTTCTTGCCAGTTTCTACTGAAATATAGTTCTTCTGGGAAGTAAGTGAGGACGGTTTCATTCCAGCTAAGCTGACTTTGCTGATGCTTGAGGTTTTTAGGCAGAGATGATACATGTATTTTTATATGTCCATAAAATATGTAATTACTAGATGCATAATGATGCATACACATATGCAGATGTACATGTGTACGCAGATGAACACCTAATAGTCTTTGTCTCACTCCCAAACCAGTGAAGATGTCATGTTCGAACTTCGAGCCTGTGGTTTTCCTATATAAGACTGCTTGGCGCAGGCGAGCGCCTGGATGCTGTAAGGACTCTGAACACGGGCAAGGAAGGCGCCAACTGGGCTCAAAAGTAGGATTGAATGCAGACATGCTGATTCCGACAAGATTGCAGATCTAGTGGTGTGCCTGGTGAAAAGCTGGTGAACACAAGCAGAGCAGCACGTATGCCACCGAGAAATATTCTTTTGGCTTGGTCAGATCTGGAGCTTGGCAGTGCTGATATCATGACCGAAGCATAATGATCACAAGGTAGAACGGGATTGCGAAAATAGTAATGCGGAGCAAAATACTGGCAACCACTCCTGAGACAATGTCAAGCATGCCCTTTCCGTCGAGATGTCATTGGATTTCCAGAACTTGCAACCTTTTCATGGCTTATTCTTCATGATTCCATCTGTTCGTTTGTGGTGTTCCGAAGAGCTGGACTTTGAGCTCCGATGCCAGGCTCGTCTGCGGCTTTCCTTGCCGATGCCCTTTGCAGGGATGGAGACTGGCAAGTCCGGAGGACCGCGGCCAAGGTGTCTCGGATTGCTACCGTGTTTCCGTGTTTGGGGGATACTCTTTCAAAGGAGCGCATGTCAAGTTTAGGAGCAAGGACGCTACTAGGGGCTCCTGGCCATACTACTAGGAGCAAGGAAGCTACTATGTATGGTAGATTGATGAAGTTTAAGGGCCGGGATGGAAGAGTTTGATGCAGCTCTAAACGTATGAGTTCTCGGCTCTCGGGCTCCTATAGGCACATAATTATCGTCTCATATGTCACATGGCCGTGGTTCCCACTCTTGGTTGGACTCAGGCTCTTGGCGCGCTGGGTGCACCTGCCAGCAACGTGCTTGTGCAAGCACTCGGGGATGCCAACCCCTTTGTGAGGCAGCTGGGTTGGTTGAAGCACAGATGAAGCATCACTGTAGCTGGAGAGAGAAGGACATTCCCAGCCGAAGTATACACTGGACTTGGATGGACTTGGACTGTTTTTTGGTTTTGCAGATTGACGAGCTTCCACCAAGCGAGGGACATATACAAGTCATGGGGCCTCACGGTTTTTTAAGCGTGCTTTCGCACAAAGGTCCAACCCCTCATGACCGGGCATCATTCCCAAGAACCCGGCTACTTGTAAAGGTGGAAACCATGCACGATGGATGTCGCCCCACCCTGCCACTGGATCTTTTCCCAAGTATTTATTTTGCATTAGTGATCAATAGTCCAGATTTGGTCCGCACAACCTGACACTGAGGGAAGCTGCTGCAGAAGCGATTGGGCATGTGAGCTCAGGCCTTTTAGCAGCGTTGTGAAGTGTGAAGGGCTGATTGCTCGATCCAGGCAAATCAGATATGCGAGTTCGTTCCAGTAGGTCCTGGGCCACAACGCTAAGCAACCGACACGGGCAAACTCCCATCTGGAGTTCCCGTTCCCCATGGTCAATCACATGCTGAGACATGTAGCTTCTTAATTCCAAAATGCCTGAGATCAGGTTCTGGACCCATTCAGCTGGCTGCTTTGGAGGCCGTTTGCAGTCTGAGCAAACGTTTTGGGTTGATTTGCCTCTCCGGTGCATTTCTTTCAGACCAAATCAGCAGAGTTGTTGTATGTTTTCATGACGCAGATTTGCATCTGAACTATGAGGGTACGGTATGGCCGTATGATGCCGTATGGCCTTTTTTGATCTTTTTTGTTGCCCCGAAGGGTATCGCACAGATGTTCCTGAAGGGCAGTCTTCTTGACATAACATTGCGTCCAACGAGGCAGTTCTGCGGCATGATGCCATGCCCTTTGTGCGCAGCGCCGCCGGACGTGCTATTGGGACAGAGATGGCCGTGCTTTTGGTTTCGATTTCGGTGGACCAATTCAATCCTATACTGGCAATGGCCTCCGACCTAGAAGCGATGGCCTCCACCTAAGAGCGATGGCCTCCAACCCAATAGCCATGGCCTCCAACCTACTAGCACGGCCGCCGCCAATTCAATTTGTTGCGAATTAAGACATCGATACTGTTTTCGTGCGGCTGCAAGTCCAGCTGTCGCTTTGAGGGTGGAAGGACTGATTTTGAGTGTAATGGTTGTGCTTGCATGCTTCATCAATGGCAGATGCGGCAGATGGTTACAGGATGTTACACAATTACATGCCATTGGCGGCTTGTGTTGATTCATGTTGATTCTTGTTTTGTCCAACGAGGAGCCTTGCAGCTACTGGACAATGCGGCCAAAGCCACGTGGTGAAAGCGCACTCTAAAGACCTTCGGGCTTCGGGATTGATTGAGAGGCCATGTACTTAATCTTGCAAAGGCTGAACAGTTGATCTTGAAGACTTCTGAATTAATCGCACTGCACGAGATTTTGAAAGGACCTGAGTCGCCATGTCAATCTGTCAATCCTATATAGGCAAGTTGTTGGCCGCTTTTGGGTGGATTCGCCTTTCAGGGACACACCATGTACAGTAAAAGCAAAACAAGTACAGACAGCGAGAGCAAGAAGGGAAGACATATTTGAGTCACGGTCAAAATAAGGGTAGATCTTAGATCACTTTAGTAGGGAGGGAGCAGTAGTGCTGAGAAACTGCACCAAACCATGCTAAGTGATAAGGCCTCCTCCCAAAAAAGATACACATACGACAGTCCATTCAACTTGGCGTAAACCAACCAAATACTGTTGTGAACCGATGAGGGAAATTCAGCCTGCAGTTGTCGTATCATTTGTCGTCCAAAGTGATTGAACTGTTCCAAAGCGACAACCTTGGCGATGACGATGAGTGATAACTTAGCGATAACCATTTGTTACACGAAGACCCGCGGCCAAGGGTTAGACCCACGAACCTATAGATATAGACAGCACCTGAAAAAAGACGTCCTTCATGAAGAGTAGAAATGGATATTGACGTAGTGGTGGCTCTGCTTAGGCTACCACATGCAAAGAGACCCCCATTCGCTGCTCCCTGATCCCTGAACAAACCTAAGCCGGACATGACAGCTGATGGGCCCATAGCGGAGGCCTCTAATTCCTAACTAGACGTTCGACGTGGTCCCTTCGCAAGGTTATGCCGCATTGGAAGACGCCTTATTGGATGATGCCTGGCAGGAGAGGACTCAAATCTGCTGCAGGATACTGCCAAGGATATTGTTAGGGCGACTGGAAGAGCAGACTCTCAACATCGGTATGAGATTCCGTTTGTGTTTTTCCCAGAATGCATCGTTTGGGTTGGGTCATTTGGATGGTGCTTCATGTGTTTCAAGATGACAGGTGCGCTGGCAGGCAGCAAGAGCGCTGGCATTCAGCTCGGAAGACCAGGCCAAACATGGTGACTAGACAAAACAGCCAAACAGGCAGGCACATGATTCTGGTCTTCTCTTCCGTTACATGTTACTTCAAACGGCGTCAGTTGCTGCCCCATGGGCCAAAGGGCCGTCACAGTGCACAAGTCTTACGGCTGAGTTCAATCCAGGCTCCACCGATGAAACTCTTTGCCAAAGGGCCCGTGTCGCGTGAGGTTGCGTCCGTGGCCTCCTGCCTCAAAGATGAAAGCTGGCTAGTGAGACGCGAAGCTTGTGCATCTTGGCGAAAGTAAGGGAACAGACCAGATCAAATATTTGGGCTGGAGAACTTGAGGAATTTATATACTAGCAAGATTTGATATGTCCTTGGGATGTAGCGGCAGAAATAGAGAGTGATTTCGTGTGATTTCTGTAGGCGCCACTTGGAGCACCGTTTGCCAAATCCGGATTGAAAGCCTAGACAAAAAGCCAAGTGTTGTTGCACCAGTTTTCATTGTCTTGACAAAGGGTTTACCAATGTTTACCACAATTAATTATCAGACATCAGCACAAGCTCTTTAGACATATTGATCATATTGAATGACATATTTTCAGGCGGCGCACTCTCTCA